CAAGACAGGCCTGGAAGTGGCCAGAATGAGGAAGACCACTCTGTGATCAAATCTTTGCCAGCTCTCAAATATTAAGCTATATCTGCTTCCTAAAGCCAAGATGGCAGAGAAGTGGCTTTGTCAATGGTTGTCTCTTAGCAAACCTCAATCTATCAGCCCCATGGAATTAGCGCTGATTCAATCTGGAGACCAGCCCTTGTACTATGTATTCCTTTCTAAGACCACCGAACAGTAACTCCAAGAGGCTGAAATTCAGAGCACTTGAATTCCAGGCTGGGAGGTTCTCATATATTACAACTCTCTTAGCAAGCACATTTGATTATGACCTTTCAGTGTCATGTCCTTTGTCTCCTTTTCCAAGTGCTTTGTATGTGTATTTGGGTAGAGTGTTAGAATAGCCCTCTTCTATTCCAGCACCTGATGATCACAGCAAGCAAATTCACGGTCCAAATCGAGGAGAAACTGCTCCTTAAACTTCTCAGTTTCTTTGGCTACAACCAGTCGGAATCAGGTATGTTGTCCTTAAGTTCTTTGAATCCTGCAAATGTTCCAGCCGTTTGGCAGAATACAACAACTTGCCCACCCCTAATCAGTTCCTGTGTTTTCTCAGTGAATTCTGTTACAAAGATCTGTCCAGTCTATAGCAATATGCCTGCTGCTGAATGAGGCCATCAGCAGGGACACACCAGAGTGCCAAGTTCAAACATTCAAAAAAGCCAAAAAAATGTTTTTAAAAGAAGGCCTTATGGAGCAGGTCCTGCAAGTTATCTTTCAGAATTGGTCTTATTATTTTAATTTCCTTCTGTAATGATGGTGAGACTGAAACAGATATTCCAGCATTTGTTGTTAATAGTGCCTATGTTTTTCTTCCTATCTTGTTGGCAACAGAGGTTGAAAATTACGATGAAAACCTCCACGAAAAGCCTGTTAGTCAAGATGTTGCCCGGAGGAGATACTATTTTGAAAACCTCAAAATTAGCGTGCCACAAATAAAGCTGAGTGTCTTTACATCTAGCAAGCTCCCCTTAGATCTTAAGGTAAGACATTATGGATGCCTTAAATAGGTGGAGTATTAAATAAGTTACGCCGTGCTTAATAAACTCTTATGAATAATTTTATATCAGGACTGGTCCATAGCAAAGTATCAGACCCACAATCAAAATCTCCTGTTCAAAAAAAAAAGTTTCTCGTTCAGTGTTGAAATTTGGGGTTTAATACCGCACATCACACCATGCTGTGTTTTGTCTAGCCATGATTTGTTAAATAAGCCACAATTGGCTAGCACTGCTCAGCAGACTAGAGTCCCAAACTATGGTTTACAAATCACAGAGACTGGGTTCACATGTTGCTCTGAGCAAACTGAGCAAACTACATTATGATTTAGCACAAAACCTGAACTTGGTTCAGCCTACCTCTCGATCTGTTTGTCCAGTCTTAGCAGAGACTGGCCTGGTCTCTCTGCAGTTTTTCAGCTCAGTGGTCCATTCTCTGTAAAATCCTATCAGGTTTTTAAGTTTGAGATCTCTTCAGGCAAACGTTTTCCCTCTCTTTGTCAGCATTTGATATTTTGCTCTGCATTTCAACAGAGCAGAGGTTCCGCTGTTCTTCACGCCTCTAGGATTCTCTTTCTTTGGTGGGCCTGCCAAGTGAACTTCATACATTGCCCATAGGACCCTGCCACCAGCAGGGCATACCATGGAATGCCCTTTGGCTCCCTCTTCATCATCCTGAGAGTGAAGTTTAGAATACCGCCCATGGATTTTTGTAGTTGTCCATGGTTGAAAAAATCTTTACTAGCCATCTCCTCCAGGCAAGAGTTCTGTCTGCAGACTCCAGCTAACAGTAAGAGTCCCGCAGATTAAAGTGTGTTGTAAGATTCTTGCACTACAGCCCTAACCCCTTCTGAGTAGAAGCAGTGGGAGTATAATCCACTCTGACCTGCGTTGTCCTGAAGGTGGAACAGTTGCCACATTTCCTTTTTGAAGACACAAATCCCAATCAGATGTGTGTGGTGGCACTGGCCGTATAAAGAAAAATTGCCTATGGACTTAGGAGGTGGTGGGGAGCAGGAAAGACCAGTGTTGAGGAAAAGGAGATGAGATTTTCACAATTTCTTCTCCTTTTAATAAACCATACAGCAGAAAGAGGAGAGTGTTTCCCTGGGATTGAGTTCAATTTTGGACAGGAATCTAAGAAAAGTAGTAAATATCCATTTCTAGGTCACATAAACGGCCCAAGCAGATTCTCAATTGAGCTTTTTTTAAAGTCCCCTTTTTACAGAATTAAAGATGTAGCAAGGAATATATTCTTCCTGGATATTCTGCTTTAGGCATTGAAGAGCACCCTGGGGTTTCCTCTTGTGCGTTTTGAAGATGCCGTGATAAACTTGGATCCCTACACAAGAGTTCACCCGTATGAGACCAAGGACTTCATTATCAACGACGTTCTGAAACACTTTCAGGAAGTGAGTAGCATCGATTTTTCTGGAGGTCCCAAAGGTGCAAGGCTCCCAGTTTTTTCGGGTGTGCTTTTCTTTTTTTTCTGGAGACAGAGCACTTTTTTGGCTAGATGTGGCAGCTGTCAAGGGCCAAACATGGCCCTTGGGTGCGGTGGGGAGGACTAAGCACTCAAGTAGGTACAGCCCGGACAAATTAAGGGTGGTTTAATTTAAAAGCATTTAATTTAAAAAGTTACTCCTTGTGTATGTAGTAATATTGGCCTTGCATCCCTGTTTTAAGACTAATATTTGGCAGGAGTTTTAATGGCAGAGTTTTATGTGTGTTGCAGACATAGAAATGAGACAATATAATAATCTCAAAACAATATATAATCATATAATAATCTCTCAAGGTTGTTTTACTGAATGATACCACAAGGGTGGAGTTTTCTGCTCCATCAGGGGAAAAGTCACTGTTCCTTTATCCTTGTTTCGATGGAGCAGCCAGTCCTGAATTTGCTGTGAGATCCCTGTTGTGATGTCCATGTTGTGCTTTCCAGGAGCTGGTCGGCCAAGCAGCAAGGATCCTGAGCTCGGTGGACTTCCTTGGCAATCCCATGGGACTCCTAACCGACGTTTCCGAAGGAGTCACCGGGCTGATAAAATACGGCAACGTTGGCGGCCTCATTCGGAATGTTGCCCATGGCGTGTCGAACTCTGCTGCAAAGGTAGGGAGCCGGGAGGGTGGAGACCCTAGTCTGGCATCTGACCCAAGGAAGCATCTATCACAACTATCTGTCTGTCTGTCTGTCTGTCTATCTTCTGTGATCTATCTATCACAGAAGGCAGGAAGATAGCTTAGCGGAAGAACCCGCTAAGCCCCCGCCCTTTGGAACATCTTGCCCCCGGAGGTGAGATTGGCCCCCTCACTCCTGGCCTTCTGGAGGGATTTGAAGACCTGGCTCTGCTGCTTGGCCTGGGGTGGGGAGGGAAGACTCAAACGTGGGGATGGTTAGCCCCTTAGAGGCCTGTCGTCTGCCACTCTGGGGTCCTTGGGGTTCTCTGAGCTTGACTAGCCGGAACTCATCAGCCTCTTGGATTTTCTCTTTTTTCTTTTCTTTTAGTAACATTTTTCAATTTTTATGTCTTATGTGATTACATAGATACTTATTGTTTTAATGGGTTATGTGAGCTGCCCAGAGTCCAGATGGGCGGTGATAAATTTAATAAATAAATAAATAAACTTGGTTTGCAGGCCTATCCCCGGCCCAGTCCAATCCCAGCATTTCCAGGTTACCAATGAAAGTGAATATGTGTAGCTCAGGGTTGAACTGTGGAGTCCCTGGGGGTCTCTTGGCGTGGTTGGTTTTTTGCAAACGCTTTATTACACGGCTAGGC